CTCCAGGTTAAAGAAGAATTAATATCAGTTAAACATGAACTAAACTTAATTGAACAAATAGACCATATCAAAAAGATTAAATATATGAAACAATATCAATTTGAAAATGCAAATAAACTGGGGAGGTGGTTGGCATATAAACTTAAAAAAGAAAGAGAAAGCAGGATAATTTACCAATTACAAGATGAGGTGGGCGATTTACAAAATAGCGAGGAAGAAATTAGAAGGATAACATTAGAATATTTTGAAAATTTGTATAATCAAGAGGAAGTGGAGATGGAAAAAATAAATACTTATTTACAAGAGGAAGGTATGCCCAGGTTAGAGGATGAAAAACAGATGGGATTAAATAGAGAGATCTCTTTGGAAGAACTAAAAGAAGCAATTCACAGACAAAAAAATAATAAAACTCCGGGACCTGATGGGCTACCAGGTGAATTTTATAAAAAAAATGGGGGAAATATTAGAACCGATACTCTTAGTTTTGTATAATGAAGTATTGTTGGAAGCAAAAATGCCCAACTCATGGAGAGAGGCATACATCACAGTCATCATGAAAGAAGGTACCGACCCAACCCAGATTCAAAACTACAGACCAATTTCTCTTTTGAATACTGATTACAAGATCTTTATGACCATTATGGCAGGAAGGATGAAAAAAATATTTAATGGAATTATCCACTCCAATCAGAATGGCTTTCTCCCAAAGAGGCAAATTAAAGATAATACAAGGACGGTTTTGAATTTATTAGAATATTACGAGGCGCATCTAGAGAAACAAGTAGCCCTTGTTTTTCTGGATGCGCAGAAAGCCTTTGATAATTTAAATTGGACGTACATGATAAAACAAATTAAAGAAATGAAATTTGGTACTAAATTTGAACAGATGATTGAAACAATTTATTCCACACAAAAAGCAAATATTATAATTAATGGGGAAATTAAAAATCATTTGAGATAAAAAAAGGAGTTTGCCAGGGATGCCCGTCCTCAATGGAAACGCATCTACATGGAGGGAAGTGTGCAGTGGAGTACCCCAAGGCTCTGTTTTAGGCCCAGTACTCATCAACATCTTCATCAATGACTTGGACAAGGGGATAGATGGGGAACCCATCAATTTTGCAGAAGACACCAAGTTGGCAGGAATAGCCAACACTCTAGAAGATAGGCTTAAGATACAGAAGGATCTTGACAGACTTGAACTATTGGGCACTATCTAACAAAATGAAATTCAATGGTGAAAAAAGTCAGGTTCTACATTTAGGCAAGAAAAACAAAATGCACAGGTACAGTATATGTGGTACTTTGCTCAATAGTAGTAACTGTGAGAGGGATCTTGGAGTCCTAGTGGACAACTATTTAAATATGAGCAAGCAGTGTGCAGCACTGCCAAAAAAGCCAATACAGTCCTAGGCTGCATAAACAGAGGGATAGAATCAAGATCACGTAAAGTGTTAATACCACTTTATAATGCCTTGGTAAGACCACACTTGGAATGCTGCATCCAGTTTTGGTTACCATGATGTAAAAAAGATGTAGAGACTCTAGAAAGAGTGCAGAGAAGACCAACAAAGATGATTAGGGGACTGGAAGCTAAAACATATGAAGAACACTTGCAGGAACTGGGTATGTCTAGTTTAATGAAAAGAAGGATTAGGGGAGACATGATAGCAGTGTTCCAATATCTCTGAGGTTGCCATAAACAAGAGGCAGCAAAGCTATTCTCCAAAGCACCTGAGGGTAGGACAAGAAGCAATGGGTGGAAACTAATCAAGGAGAGAAGCAACTTAGAACTAAGGATAAATTTTCTGACAGTTAGAACAATTAATCAATGGAACAACTTGCCTGGAAGTTTTTAAGAAGATGTTGGATAACCATTTGTCTGAAGTGGTGTAGGATTTCCTGCCTAAGCAGGGGGTTGGACTAGAAGTCCTCCAAGGTCCCTTCCAACTCTGTTATTCTATTCTATTCTATTCTATTCTATTCTATTCTATTCTATTCTATTCCCATTCCAAGACCGAACATTGATGTCTTGGAATCAGTGAACTAAAATGGACAGGAATGGGTGAATTTAATTCAGATGACCATCAGGTATACTACTGCTGGCAAGAATCCCTCAGAAGAAATGGAGTAGCCTTCATAGTCAATAGAAGAATAGGAAAAGCAGTACTGGGATACAATCCCCAAATGACAAAATGATCTCAGTTCGAATCCAAGGAAAACCATTCAATATCACAGTAGTCCAAGCCTATGCCCCAACCACTGGTGCTGAAGAGGATGAAGTTGACCGGTTCTATGAAGACCTACAACACCTTCTAGAATTAACACCAAAAGATGATGTCCTATCATCATGGGGAATTGGAATGCTAAAGTAGGAAGTCAAAAGATAACCAGAATAACAGGCAAGTTTGGTCTTAGAGTACAAAATGAGACAGAGCACAGGATGGTAGAATTTTGTCAAGAGAATACGATGGTCATAGCAAACACTCTTTTCCAACAACCCAACAGACGTCTCTACACATGGACATCACCAGATGGTCAATACAGAAATCAGATTGACTATGTGCTCTGCAGCCAAAGATGGAGAAGCTCTATACAGTCAGTAAAAACAAGACCAGGAGCTGAATGTGGCTCAGATCATGAGCTTCTCGTTGCAAAATTTAGGCTTAAATTGAAGAAAGTAGGTAAAAGCACTAGGCCACTCAGATATGAACAAAATCATATCCCTGATGTATATACAGTAGAGGTGACAAATAGATTTAAGGAATTAGATCTGATAGACAGAGTGCCTGAAGAACTATGGACAGAGGTTTGAAACATTGTACAAGAGGTAGCAACTATAACCATCCCAAAGAAAAAGAAATAGAGTACTACTTAGCATGGCAAAAATGGTATATCTGGTTGGAGAAAAAGTTAGAAATACATTCATAGGGACACTAAAGAATAAGGTCAACTTTAAGACAAAAGTTTGAGTGCCAATTAAGGAATGTAACAATTTTAAGGATGGAATGTATATTAATGCTTTATACGTAAATATGTAAATATACAAATATATAGATAAATAAGGAAAAATAGTCTACCGATGTGACAACTTTAAGAGCAAGTCGTAAGACTTGATTGATGTTCGTTTGTTTTGTATGTTGTATCGTCGTATTTATGTTTGTTTGTACTTTTTAACTAATAAAATTTATTAAAAAAAAAACTATAACCATCCCAAAGAAAAAGAAATGCAAGAAAGCAAAATGAGCTCTGGTGGCTCAGCAGACTAATTAACATCCACTTACATCTGCTGCCTGCAATTACTGCAAGTTCAAATCTCACCAGGCTCAAGGTTGACTCAGCCTTCCATCCTTTCTAAGGTAGGTAAAATGAGGACCCAGATTATGGGGGCAATAAACTGACTTTGTATAAATATACAAAAGTATGAAGGCTATTGCTTAACGCATTGTAAGCCGCCCTGAGTCTCCGGAGAAGGGCGGCATATAAATCAAATTTAAAAAAAAAAAAAAAATAAAAAATAAATGGCTGTCTGAGGAAGCCTTACAAATAGCTGAGGAAAGAAGGGAAGTGAAAGGCAAGGGAGAAAGAGAAAGGTACACCCAATTAAATACAGAATTCCAGAGAATAGCTAGAAGAGATAAGAATGCCTTCTTTGCACTGAACAGTGCAAAGAAATAGAAGAAAACAATACAATAGGGAGGACAAGAGATCTCTTCAAGAAAATTGGAGATATGAAGGGAATGTTTCATGCAAAGATGGGCATGATAAAGGACCAAAATGGCAGGGACCTAACAGAGGCAGAAGAGATTAAGAAGAGGTGGCAAAATTACACAGAAGAACTATACATGAAGGAGCTTAATGTCCCTGATAACCATGATAGGGTGGCCACTGACCTCGAGCCAGACATCCTGGAATGCAAAGTCAAATGGGCCTTAGGAAGTCTGAGCAACAACAAAGCTAGTGGAGGTAACAGTATTCCAGCTGAGCTATTCAAAATCTTAAAAGACGATGCAGTAAAAGTGCTACACTCAATATGCCAGCAAATTTGGAAAACTCAACAGTGGCCACAGGATTGGAAAAGGTCAATCACAAACACTGTAATTTGGACCATCATGGATCTGTTCTCCAAGCAGGCCCACTTTGTGGCATGCCCCAAGCTCCACCCAAAGATTGGCCAAGATGTTTGTACAACACATCTACCGATCGCATGGAATGCCCAAACATTGGCTTGGACTGAGTAGAGTTTACAGTGGAGTTCTGGTGTGCATTTGTAAAGCTGATAGGGTCTTCCCAGGATCTTAGCTCTAGGTTTCATCTGAGTACAAATGGAGGCTCAGAATGAGTTAATGCAGTGGTAGAGCAATGCCTACGTTGTTATATTAACTATCAACAGTCCAAGTGGACTGAGCTCTTGCTATTTACAGAGGGAGCATACAATGATTAAATGCATAGCAACACAGGCTTCACCCCATTTAAGGTAACCAATGGTATAGAGTTCATACCTATGCCAGAGTATCCAAAGGAGCCTCTATCCTAGTAACTCTCAAGGAGTTACTCCCTAAATAAAGCATGCAAAGATGTAAAGAAGGCCTTAGTGAAAGCAAGGAAAGGGCAAAAACAACAAGCAGACAAAAGGAGAGCTCCCTAAAAGGAGTTCAAGGTGGGGGTGGAAAAGTGTACTTATCCACAAAATACCTAAAGTAAAAGCAACCTTGTAGGATGTTGGGCCCCAAGTATATTGGTCCATTTCATATTGTGAAAATAATCAATCCAGTCACAATAGAGCTATTGTTACCTATTATCTTGGGTATTGTAGCTTGCTAAAACCAGCCCAAGGGTCTAAGATAAGACCGGTGGGGTAAGAAACCCTGGGCGCGATCATAGTGGGGGGAGAAGAACACTATGAGATAAAAAGGATCCTAGATTCTACTTATTACATGTGGAAATTGCAATATCTAGTGCAATGGAAAGGATATCCAAGGATAGAAGCAGAATGGATTAAAGCCAACAATGTTAAGGAAGTCCGGCTAATAAACAGGTTCCATTTGAAATATCTTCAGAAACCAGGGGGAGATGTAAAGAGGAATGGTATGTTAGAATATTCATGACATATTGTAAACTTATTTCATGTATTATTGTTATTATTATTATAATTATTATAATTATAATTATTATTAATAATAATTATTAGTATTATTTCATGTATCATGAATAGGCATAGCAACTAAGTCAGCCAATTGGGAGCTGAAACAGACTGGAGTCAGGGCATGTCTTAGTCTGCAGCTTCTGATTCTATGCAGAGAAGAGAAACTGAAACCAGTGTGTGTGAACTTGTCTGCTGATCTGAGCTGAAATTAAACTGTGAATCTGCTGTTGGTATTGTAAATTTATTTCATGTATTATTGTGTATATAAATAAGTTAATGAATCCTGCTGCATCAGTTTATCTGTGTGTGCTTCTGGATTTGTTTTTTGTAAAAAACTCTTGACAGGTTATGGGCTCAGAGCACACAGAAGACTGCATTGTAATTAAGCTGTGAATGATTGCAGGATGGCTGCTGGTTTTTTTTTTTTTAACTTGATTTATATGCCGCCCTTCTCCGGAGACTCAGGGCAGCTTACAATGCGTTAAGCAATAGCCTTCATTCTTTTGTATATTTTATACAAAGTCAGCTTATTGCCCCCACAAACTAGGTCCTCATTTTACCTACCTTAGAAAGGATGGAAGGCTGAGTCAACCTTGAGCCTTGGAGAGATTCGAACCAGCAGAAATTGCAGGCAGCTGTGTTAATAACAGGGTGCATTAAACCACTGTACTATCAAGGCTGAAGTTAATCAAGGCTGTTGAAGTTAAGGAGAGCTCTCTGCCTCGTTTGGGACAGAAGAACTATATTATTTGGGCTGCAAAGATGGAATGTTTCCTGAAGGCAAAGGAGCTCTGGGATATTGCTGTAAATCCAGCACAGGTTCCATTTACAACTGCAGAGCAGAGGCAGCATGATAAAGCAATAACTTATATAATCTTGAGTTTAGAAGATGAACAATTTCTCAATGTAGCTGATTTAAAGACTGCAAAAGGGGTCTGGCTGAAATTAAGAAATGTGCATGTGAGTGTGTCTGCATGCAATATTGTTCAATTATCAAGAAAATTATACAGAGCCTGTTTGCAACCAGGAGAATCTGTGGAACAGCATTTTATACAAATGCAAACTTTATTTGTGGAGTTAGAACAGTGTGGGATGCAGTTTCCTGAGTCCCAGAAGGCGCTACTAGTGTTAAACAGTCTTGATGAAATGTGGGACAGTGTTTCTGCAGTGTTTGAGTGCAAACCAGAACAGGAGTTGCGTTTGGAGGCTTTAAAGGCTTGTTTGATTGCTGAGGAGCAGAAACGCCATTATAGAAAGAGCCACAAGGAGGAATTCCTGAGGTGGGGGCCCAAGGAGCAGAGAGAGAAGAATGGAAAATTCCATAGACTGGCTGTCTCCAGGGAGTCAAGCAACAGGCAAGACATCTGCAAAGAGATAAGTAGCAGCAGAAGATATCAGATTACAGCCCAGCAAAGACTTTGCAAGCAGAAACAACAGATGTGTTTCATTTCTGGTGAAAATACACATTTAAAGAGAGACCGTTTGCAAAGAAGTTATTTGAAAGACAAGAATTATTTGCAAGGAAAATTGCAAGAGGGACAGGTTGCTGTTGCAAGAGTTAGCTGTTGCAATAGCAGAGACAAATGGTGTCAGGTGTGCTTCCTTCAAAGTCCAGGAAAGAATGAGCCAAACTCCATTATTATAGAGTAATGTACTTTTACTGGAAAATGAAATGAACGCTCCAAGGAAAAGCTGAAACTAAAGCAATAGGCGCGAAAGTTGCATATAGAAAGCATCCCCTCCCACTGTCCATCATCAATCACCCAATCCAAAGGTCTCCCAGAGGTCAGGTGGAAGCACGTCTGGCATCGTCATCAATCAGGAACGCGATGACGGTTGACCCGATAGCCACTTCGGAGATTAGGTTTCGTTTCTTCAAAATCCTCCAGCACACTTCCCCACCCCACAGTCTCTAATTCTCTCCCACCCTTTTCTTATGGCAGCCAAAGCAGTAAAGGCGCAGGCTGACATGTGGTTGATTGACAGTGGGGCAAGTCAAACAATTGTTAACAATTCTAAATTGTTTTCCAGGATGGATCCAGCTACTGGAGATGCAGTAACCTTGGCAAATGGCCAGAAGGCTAAAGTCATTGGAAGAGGCAGTGTGCAAATTCCATATCTGGAAAAGAGGTTTAGTGATATATTATGTGTGCCTGAAATCAGGGGTGAAATCCAGCAGGTTCTGACAGGTTCTGGAGAACCAGTAGCAGAAATTTTGAGTAGTTTGGAGAACTGGCAAATACCACCTCTGGCTGGCCCCAGAGTGGGGTGGGAATGGAGATTTTGCAATATCCTTCCCCCAGGAGTGGGGAGGGAATGGGGATTTTGCAGTATCCTTCCCCTGGAATGCAGTGGGAATGGAGATTTTGCAGTATCCTTCCCCTGCCACGCCTACCAAGCCATGCCCACCAAGCCACACTACGCCCACAGAACCATAGTAAAAAAATTGGATTTCACCACTGCCTGAAATGGAGCATAATTTGCTGAGTATCTCTAGTTTAGACAAGCAAGGATTTGAGATGACATTTGCAAATGGGAGGTGTCTCATAAAGAGAAATGGAAATGTATGTGCACAGGGCATAAAAGAGGATAATCTTTATGTGTTGCAGGGACAAAAGGTTCAATGTGCCCAAACATTTGGAAATGCATCACATGATTCATGTGTTCATCTCTTGTACAGGAAGCTTGGCCATGCCAGCTTCAGAGTTTTGCAAAGGATGGACCAGTTTGCAGAAGGATTAAATTTAAAGGGATGTAAGGCATACTTGGACTGTGCAGTGTGCAAATCATCAAAGTCCAAAGCATTCCCAGTAAGCAAGAGTAGCACAAGGCAGACAACAAGAGCTCCAGAGCGGGTACATGCAGATTTGGTTGGGCCAATGCAAGCCAGTTTGGAAGGAGCAAAGTATGCGCTGGTCATTGTAGATCAGGGGTGGGTTCTACTTACCTTCACTACCAGTTCGCAACGGGAGCACGCGCATGCTTCTGCACATGTACAGAAGCTTCTGCGCATGTGCAGATTGTCAATTATGTCCAGGCAGGGTGGGCGGAGCCTCCCGCCGCTTTTACTACCGGTTCTATAGAACTGGACAGAACCGGGAGCAACCCACCACTGTTGTAGATGACTACAGCAGGTTTGGGTTCCGCTATTTACTAAAGAATAAAATAGACGTGCTACAGAAATTTAAGTAATGAGTAAGCTTTGTGGAAAGAAGGTATAAACAACAGGTATGTCAACTGCAGACTGACAGAAGTTCATGTCAGCAAGTTTTCAACAGTGGTTGGGACAGTTAGGAATAAAACACAGACACACAAATCTGTGTACAGCAGCTGAGAATGGTGTTGTTGAGAGACGAAATGGAACCTTACAAACCATGAAGGACTCACTGCTGGAGGATTCTAGTCTGAGCAGGTCATATTAGGGTGAAGCCATCTTGACTGCTAATTAATTAATAGGCTGTGGAGTTCCTCCATTAATGATACTCCATATGAATTGCTATATGGGAGAAAACCATCTCTGGCACATTTACGGGTTTTTGGAAGTAATGCGCGGGTTCATATTCCAAAAGCAGTTAGAAGAAAGGGACAACCAATCGGGGTGGATTTCCATCAGTACGCTGATGATACTCAGCTGGACATTTCTACCCCGGGCCACCCCAATGATGCTGTTGAAGTGATGACCCAGTGCCTGGAAGCCGTATGGATCTGGATGGGGAGGAACAAGCTCAGACTTAACCCCTCCAAGACCGAGTGGCTGTGGTTTCCGGCATCCCATCATAGTCTGTTGACGCCATCACTGACTATTGGGGGTGAGATCTTGACCCCCTCAGAGAGGGCTCGCAACTTGGGCATCCTCCTGGACTCGCAGCTGTCCTTAGAAGACCATCTGACGGCTGTGGCCAGGGGGGCTTTTTATCAGGTTCGCCTGATTTACCAGTTGCGTCCCTTTCTGGACCGGGACTCCTTATACACAGTCACTCACGCCCTCGTCACTTCCCTTCTGGACTATTGTAATGCTCTCTACATGGAGCTCCCCTTGAAGAGCACCAGGAGGCTCCAACTGGTCCAGAATGCGGCCACGCAGGTAATTATGGGAGCGACTTGACGCTCCCATGTAACACCGCTCCTGCACGAGCTGCACTGGCTCCCGGTGGTCTTCCGAGTGCGATTCAAGGTGCTGGTTGCCACCTTTAAAGCGCTCCATGGCTTGGGACCTGGGTATCTACGAGACCGCCTTCTGCTGCTGATAGCCTCCCATCAAGCAGTATGCTCCCACAGAGAGGGGCTCCTCCGGGTGCCGTCGGCTAGGCAAAGTTGGCTGATGATCGCTAGGGGGAGAGCATTCTCTGTGGGGGGCCCTACCCTCTGGAATGAGCTGCCCCCGGAGATTCGTAGGATTCCCGACCTGCGCTCGTTGCGCCCTAAAAACATTATTATTCCAACAAGCAGGGTTGGCCTAAATAATAATAATATTTTACTATTTTAATGGGTTGTTTTATTAGAGTTTTCGGCCAATTTATTTAATTGTTTTAAATTGCTTTTAATTTTTATATTGTCATGGTTTTATTTCTGGCTGTACACCTCCCTGAATCCTTCGGGAGAAGGGCGGTATAGAAATTTAATAAAATAAATAAATAAAAATAAACCAAAGGCTAGAAAGCTCAGGTTTGTGGGCTATGAGCCAGGCTCAAAAAGCTACCACTTTAGCAATGGCAGCAAAAGAATAGTGATTTCCAGGTCTGCTAGCTTTGCAGAGCAAAATTGGAAAAGAATTGATGCGAATTTTTGGAATGATTCACTTAGTGACGGTGATCCACTTAGTGACAGTAGCTCACTTAGTTATGGTAACTCACTTAGTGATGTGTCAATGTTCAGGGAGGAGAAGCTGAAAAAGACATGAAGCAAGAGAGGCTTGAAACACAGGAGCAGTCAATGCCACGCAGGTCAGAGTGATGGAACAAGGGGATTCCACCTGACAGGTATTCTGCTAGTAAAGTTAAAGTGTGTAATGTATGGTATGAGCCAAGAAACTATAAGGAAGTGTTGGCATTACCTAGAATTGAATAAGAAAAGTAGAAAGCAACCATGGACAAGGAAATGAAATCCATGGCTGAATATAAAGGGTTCACATCTATGACTTTGCCACAGGGTAGCAAAGCTATAGGATGCAAATGGGTATACAAGAAGAAAGTACTGCCCAATAATGAGGTCCAGTATACAGCAAGGTTAGTGGCACAAGGTTTTTCACAGATGAAAAATGTGCACTATGATGAGGTATTCACGCCAACTGTAAAGAGTGAAAGCATAAGCCTCGCACTAGCATTGGCAGCGGCACATGGCCATAAAATTTGGCATTTTGACATAACCATTCCTCAATGCTGAGTTAGAGGAAGAAATTTACATGGTTCAAGTACCAGGGTATGAAAGTAAAAGGCCTAACACGGTGTATGAATTGAACAAGGCCATTTATGGGCTGAAGCAGTTAACCAGGAATTGGACTATTTTTTTAGATACTGCATTGAAGGGTCTTGGATTCAAGAGTTGCAAGGCTGATGGTTGCATATACACTGGAAAGTTACAAGGTGGGGATTGTCAACTATTAGCATTTGTGGATGATCTCTGTTTCATTGCAAAGGATGTATCACAGTAAAAGGGTTCTCAGGTATTTGAAGGGAACTGTGAATGTGGGTCTTCAAATACAGGTATCTGAAGAATATTAAGATAATTTGATTATATCTATTCCAGTCATCAAGGGAGGAGTGTTAGAATATTCATGACTGGGAAGACATGGTAACCAGGTCAGCCAATGAACAGGCATAGGAACTAAGTCAGCCAACTGGGAGCCGAGACAGACTGGAGCCAGGGCATGTCTTAGTCTGCAGCTTCTGATTCTGTGCAGAGAAGAGAAACTGAAACCACTGTGTGTGAACTTGTCTGCTGATCTGAGCTGAAGTGAAACTGTGAATTTGCTATTGGTATTGTAAACTTACTTCATGTATTATTGTGTATATAAAGAAGTTAATGAATCCTGTTGCATCAGTTTATCTGTGTGTGCTTCTGGATTTCTTTTTGCAACAAACTCTGACATGGTATGAACCCATGATGTTAATATGTGATTGATATTTTGTAGGTATCCCTTCTTTCCAGGGGGCCAGCATGTCAAGATTGAATTTGCTTATGCTTCCTGTGAATATTATTGCTTCTCAACTTGCCAAAGAACTGGGGGAAGGGAAGGGGAAGATGGAATGCACAGGCTCTAGACTTCAGAACGGATAGCCAAGCACCCACCAAGGACACGTCTGCAGGTGTCGGCCAAGACATAAACTGTTCTCAAAACAAAAGGACAATTCATAAGTGGACAATGTGACCTGTCCAGTGGGAGGAGGGGAGAAATCTGTTCTTTAACTATGCAGGATTGCACAGGAAAAGTTAGAGCTGGTTTTGCTTCCTTTGGTGCTGAAATGATGTACTCAGTAAAGTTTTGCTTTTGGGATTTCAAAGTTCCTGAAAATGGCTATGTTTGTTGGGTTCATTAGTTGGACTGTTGACATAAACCGCCAATTGCAACTTATAATTTCATAGCTGTAAAAAGGCTTATAAAATAAACAAGATTATACCTTACAATATTTATGAAGCAGCTATAAACATAAGTTGCAGAAGTCATTAAGAAATACGTACCCATAGATTTAGATACTGGTAAGCTGCCGATATAGAAAGCTTTGTATTTCTGAACAGACTCTCTCACAACATCCAATATATCAGCTGCAGGAACAAAAGAGAGCAGATTTGTTCCAATCTGTTGTTCAGAAAATAAATCTTAAGGCATTGGAAATAAGAAGATACTGAAACATGTCACTTAATGGGGCTCCCCTTGAAGAGCACTCGGAGGCTCCAGCTGGTCCAGAATGCGGCCGCGCGGGTGGTGACACCCCTCCCGCGCGAGCTGTACTGGCTCCCAGTGGTCTTCCGGGTGCGATTCAAGGCATAGGACCCGGGTACCTTCAAGACCGACTTCTGCCACCAATAGCCTCCCACCGGCCAGTTCGCTCCCACAGAGAGGGCCTCCTCAGGGTGCCATCGGCCAAGTTATGTCGGCTGGCAACACCCAGGGGGAGGGCCCTCTCTGTGGGAGCCCCAGCCCTGTGGAATGAACTGCCCCCGGAAATACGTAAGATCTCCGACCTCCGGGTATTTCGTTGTGCACTCAAGACCCTGTTGTTCCACCAGGCTGGGCTATCAACATAACAATTTTAAATTGGGTTTTAAATTTCTGGGGTTTTAAAATTTAGCCGAATTCATTTAATAATTTTAAACTATTTTAACTGATGTTGTTTTGTGTTTTTAATAGGCTGTACACAGCCCTGAGTCCTTCGGGAGAAGGGCGGTATAGAAATAAAATTATTATTATTATTTATTGGTTAATCTTTAGTGAGATTCACAGCCTTTGAGGCTGGTTAATAGCTCAGCAGCTCGAGTCCTAACCAAGGACCTAGGAACTGTTAAGGTATCGTTGGAGGATGTAAGCTGTTCCGAGTAAGGTGGTTTTTTGTAGAGTCAAAATGTTCAAGTCCGGCAAATTTAGAATTTCTAAATAGCGGGGTAACCCTTTGGGTATTGCTCCGAGGGCTCCAATTACAATCGGGACAACACACGATTTCTTTTTCCACAGTCGCTCAACTTCAATTTGTAAGTCCCAGTACTTTGTGATTTTTTCTTGCTGCTTATCTTCAATTCGTGCATCACCAGGTATTGCAATGTCAATGAACCATACTTTTTTCTTTTCAACTATTGTTATGTCAGGTGTGTTGTGGACCAAGTGCCTGTCAGTCTGAATCCTAAAGTCCCACAAGATCTTGAGTTTCTCATTCTCTAAAACTTTCTCAACCTGATGTTCCCAGTGGTTTTTGCTGTACTCAAATCCAAACTTCTGGCACAATTTCCAGTGAATGATTTTAGCAACACGGTCATGGCGTTGTAGGTAGTCAGTTTGTGAAATTTTGCTGCACCCACTGATCAGGTGGTCGACTGTCTCATCTTTCTCATTGCAGAGGCGGCATTTGCTGTTGGTGGTAACATGTTGAATTTTTGCCTTCATACAGTTTGTGGCTAGGGCTTGTTCTTGAGCTGCCAAAATAAAGCTTTCTGTTTCTTTTTTCAGTACTCCTGATCTTAACCAGTTCCAAGTTAGTTTCTGGTCAGCTTTGCCTTCAATACTTTTCAAGTATTGGCCATGCAGAGCTTTGTGTTTCCAATTTTCAGCTCGCTGCTCAATTACTTCTTTCTTATATTCTGCTTTTGTTTTAGTTATTATTATTATTATTATTATTAATATTAATATTATTAATATTATTATTAATATTATTATTAATGAGTAATCAAGTGTTTCCTCATGATCCTACAGTAAGTCTCACTGAGTTCATTCATTGGTCCTTAAGAGTGCCATCAATCTAAGAAATGGAAATTTTTATAGGAGGGATCAAATGCTGCATTGCATGTTATAATAAGGGGGCAGTCAAGAGCACATCAGTTCCTTCATTGTTTGAAAACAAAGAATACCAATGAAACTCCTCTTCAGACTGCCAGAGACTTCAGTCTGGCGGTAATTCTTTCAGCTCTGTTTGGGGTTAAAGGTGACCAGCAGATGTGTTCTTCACTGACCATCTCTCTGATTTCCCACCCATTTCCTGAATTCTTCTACAATTATAGCAGATATTCAGTTGTGTATTTTCAAACTGGACAATATGGTAATTTGCTGTTTACTGTGTACTGTAGTTCATGATGCATCAGGAAAGGTATGAGAGACCTCGGATCCTACTCAGTGAAATGATTTACCACGCATAAGAGTCTGTGAAGATCAGACAAAATCCATTCAAAGATAAAGACACCAAGCAACAAATGCCAAGGTGAAATTCACCAAATCATCTTTATATAGCGAAAATGCTGCTTTGTTATTCAATCTTTCATCCCAATGCAGAGGTTCTTTCTGGGGTAAGGTGGCAAAGAGTAGTGGTTCCTAATATAAGAGCCTAAGGAATAATTACTACATTTCTGTAATTGTGAGGAAAAGTAAAATGCATGTAATTAAAGAAACTTGGTCTAGAATCTTGTTACCTTGCAGAGATATGTCATTTGGAGAAATAGATTCAAGGGTGATGGATCGAGAGAGGCTGCTACTTGCCACTGCTTGCTCAGCCATAATCTATAACATAGAAAAATGCCATTACAGTTTAAAGCCTATGTTAGTATGTTATTATAGTAAAGCTGAGGAGCAAAGTGCAAGGGCTCCAACTGTATAGGCAGAAATAAGAACTCAAATAACAAGTCCCACTCCTTCAATAAATGCAATCTGATCCTCTTATTAGTTGAGCTTACTAACAGGTTCACAAGCTTAATTGACATTTTGCTGATTGACTATCAACCACTAGAAGTCTGGTTCTGGCGAAGCCTCTAAGAGCATGGTTCAAAATATTTTTTTCAAATCATCAACCAAGTGGGACCTCTATTGACTAATGTTCACAAAATGAGACCAAGCTGCACAATATCTACATTTTGATGACTACCAGGGATGTTCACAAAGTATAGTAAATATTATGTACATTAAAAAAAGTTTCAATTATTTGACAAAATCCATTATTTAAAATTGGCATTCATCCTTCAGGGGAATAGCAGCAAAATAATGGCAATGCATCAATCAATGCTTCCTCTCAATGTCATAATTGGAAGCAGGATGTGTTCTTGCATGCTGCTTCCAACTTTTGTCAACTTGCTAAGAAGATGTCTTCTCAACATACCGTTTGACTTCTAGGGAGCTCTAAATAGTTAAGATTGTTCCAGATGGTAAAATAATCAATTTTGCTTTCCACCTGGGACAGCTTGAGTCCTTAGTAGATGCTATGTATAAGGGCTCCATGCTAACTCTTTTTCTTCATTCTACAGCTTGTACCCAGTAGATTCATTCATTGATGTCATGTCACGATAACCTAACTTAGGGCTGAAACCAAAGTGAAAAGTGGAAAGCCAACCTGCCTTTCCCAGTAATCCTCTGTGTTTGACATTCCCTGCTGTGCCCTCTTGCCTTTATTTTCTGCTATTGCTACCTCCTCTTTATCAAGCATTCTTCCCCTTTACATCAGTTTGTGAAATAGATAGGAATCTCACAACTTGAACATTTTCCTTCCAATAAAAAATAAAATATTACAATAATAAAAAGTAACCCTCTAACACCAACTGATGGTCCTCTAGGTTTGAAATGTTATTAGCCCCTCCCCCTTTCGGGAGAAGTGACCAAGCACACAAGCTATAATTTAAAAAGTCAGAAACAAGAAAACATACAAGTGTTATTTCAGTTTAACACCACATCTAATTACAAGTTTAGGAAATAAGGCATTTAGTTCTGTTAAATCACACAGTGATTGCAGCAAACATGAAGAAATGAGACAGTCATAGATGCATGGTAGGCAGGATCTCCTGCTCAAAGAAAATAAGATGGAACAGTTTATATAGAGAATAGAAAATACTAGAAATAAGAATCATCAGCAAAAAAAAGGCAACTTCAATCGAATAGTAGATAAGTGCTGTACTCCCAAGGCCAAAACACTCCTTCCTAATAGTTTTTAACTACAGCACAATAATAACCAATGATTTAAAGAAGCCTGTCCTGAATTGCATCACTTATTCCTAAAACCACCAGTTTAGCAATGTAATGTGACTGCAAAAAAAGGGCAAATGCAGTGTTAGAATACAGCTTCCAGGATTTCGAGGGAACAAATGGTTAACTATAGATGATATTGCTATCAATGCAACTTGGTCCTTCCTTAATCTCTTCTAGAATGAAGAGATGGTGAGCAATAATTCAGATTTTTTTTCAGACTGATTTTTTAAAAAATTGGATAATGATTTGATCATTTTATTTCACAAGAAACCTTATACATAATTGTGAAGCCTATAAGAACTCAATCAGCTCTAATTCAATTAGAATTAAAAATATATGTATTTATTATATGTACACATAAACTCTCATAATAATATGCTAAGATAGAGATATGTGGCATGCAAAATTTGCTATAGTATAATGTCTAGTGTTTCTTACTATTGGCCAAAGTGACTGAAGTTGTTGGGAATTATAGTTCTGTAATATTTGTAAATGGTACAGGTGCCTACCCTTATTGTAAAAGAACCATTATTCCTATTATCAAATAGATTTTTGAATTGTGGTAATAAACTTTTTATTCAGGTTAGTTTTTTTCAACTATCAAAAATATTTAAGCAACCACATATATTTCCCAATACATATAAAATAAAATTTATTGTACAGAATATGGGCTAGACCTGTGATGGTGAACCTATGGCACTTGTCCCACCTATGTGGGACCGGAAGTTGTCAAATGGGGTGTTTTCGGCCTCTGGAGGACCTCCGGGGACAGGGGGGAAGGCCATTTTTGCCCTCCCCAGACTCCTAGAGAGGCCCTGGTAAGAAAGAAAAACGGGCCTACCAGGCCATTGTGTGCCAGGAGGGGGGACAGGGGGGTCACACGGGCATGCGCAGGAGTGGGGCATATAGAATCGTGGGTGTGGGCACGCGTGGGCACGACCCCCTCCCTGCCCCCCCCTTTCTGGCATGCGATGACAAAAAGGTTAGCCATCACTGGGCTAGACTCTCTGAAGTCTAGATGGGCAACCCCACAGAAGGTTGTGGAAAATAAAAGGGCTAAGAACCTTGGGATTTTTAGATCCAGGCAGACAGGCAGGTACTGGCTAATCAACCGGACATTATTTATTTATTTATTTATTTATTTATTTATTTATTTATTATTTATTTATTTATTTATTTATTTATTTATTTATTTATTTTTTATTTATTTATTTATTTTTTATTTATTATTTATTTATTTTTTATTTATTATTTATTTATTTATTATTTATTTATTTATTTATTTTTGCGATTTATATGCCACCATTCTCCCGAAGGACTCAGGGCGGCTTACAACAACAATCAATAATACAAATCACAAAATAACAAAATAAGTTAAAAAACCCTTAAAAACCATATTTAAAATTATTACAGTTTGTGCAACCCCTAGCAGATCAAGTTATTTGATGGAAGAGCCATGTCTTCAGTTCACGGCGAAAGGAGAGGAGGTCCGGGGCTATTCTGAGCTCGATGGGCAAATCATTCCAGAGGGTCGGCGCTCCGACAGAGAATGCTCTCCCCCTGGGGGCCACCAGTCGACTCTGTTTGGCCGATGGCACCCTGAGGAGGCCTGCTCTGTGGGAGCGCACGGGACGGTGGGAGGAAGGCAGAAGATGGTCCTGCAAGTACCCTGGGCCTAAGCCATATTAGGGTTTATAGGTAAGCACCAGCACCTTGAAACGGACCCGGAGAGCAACCGGCAGCCAGTGCAGCTCGCGCAGGAGAGGTGTTGCACAGGAGTAACAAGGTACTCCGGTAACTACCCGCGCGGCGGCATTCTGGACCAGCTGGAGCCTCCGGATGCATCCCAAGGGCAGCCCCATGTAGAGGGCGTTGCAGTAATCCAACCGAGAAGTAACAAGGGCGTGGGTGACCGTGGCGAGGGCATCTCGGTCTAGGAAAGGGAGCAACTGGCGCACAAGACGTACTTGTGCGAAGGCCCCCCTGGTTACGGCCATCAGATGGTCATCCATGGACAGCCGAGAATCCAGGAGGACACCCAGATTGCGAACCTTAGCGGAGGGGGTAAGAGTCTCCCCTCCTATCACTAAAGATGGTACCTCTAGATCCCGAGATGCCGGCATCCACAGCCACTCAGTCTTGGATGGGTTGAGTCTGAGTCTGTTCCTACCCATCCAAGTCCGCACCGCCTCCAGGCAATGGGACATGATGGAAAGGGCATCCCTAGGGTGATCCGGGGTGGAGATATAAAGCTGAGTAACATCCGCATATTGGTGATACCTCACCCCAAAACCACGAATGATCTCACCCAGCGGCTTCATATAGATATTAAAGAGCAGGGGGAGAGAACCGATCCCTGAGGCACCCCACAAGTGAGGGGCCTCTGGGAGGATCTCTGACCCCCCGCTGATACAAACTGCAAGCGGCCCGAGAGATAGGAGAACCACTGCAGAACAGTGCCTCCTATCCCCAACCTCCTGAGTCGCTGCAGTAGGATACCATGGTCGATGGTATTGAAAGCCACTGAGAGGTCAAGAAGGACCAGGATAGAGGAACAACCCCCATCACGGGCCTGCCAGAGATCATTCACTAGGGTGACCAATGCTGTTTCTGTGCTGTGACCTCGCCTGAAACCAGATTGGTAAGGATCCAGGTAGTCAGTTTCCTCCAGGAATTGAGGGAATTGCTGTGCCACCACGGACTCGACAACCTTCGCTAAAAAGCGGAGGTTGGAGACTGGACGGTAGTTATTAAGGGAGTCAGGGTCCAGGTTGGGCTTCTTGAGGAGAGGGCGAACCACTGCCTCTTTGAGTGCAGTGGGGAAGATCCCCTCCCTCAGCGAAGTGTTGACAACAGCCTGGATCCAGTCTCCGGTCACCTCCCTGGCTGTCGAAACAAGCCAGGAGGGACACGGGTCCAATAAACACATGGAGGTCCCCAGCCGACCCATAATCTTGTCCACTTCATCCAACGAAACAGGCTCAAACTCAACCCAGATGTCCCCGCCAAGACAAGCCCCAGTCTCCTCAGTGGATTCTGCCCAGTCAGAGTCCAGCCTGATCCGGATCTGAGTGATTTTATCTTGCAGAAACTGCGCAAAATCCTCAGCTCGGCCCTGCAAGGGGTCCTCCCTCGCTCCAAGATTAAGGAGGGAGCGGGTCACCCTAAACAGGGCGGCTGGGCAGTTTTCTGCAGATGCAATGACAGCAGCGAAGTACTGCCGTTTCGCTGCTTCCATTGCCACAAGATAAGACCTAATATAGGTTCTTAGCTGTGTCCGGTCAGATTCGGATCGGGAGGACCTCCAACCACCCTCCAGGCATCTTTTCCGATGCTTCATTTCCCTGAGCTCCACAGTAAACCATGGAGCCGCCCGGGATCTGCGTTGGATCAGAGGCCGCATAGGCGCAATTTGATCCAGGGCCCCTACCGCAGCCTGTTCCCAGGCCGCAACTAGGGCCTCGGAGGAATCATGGATTAAAGAGGCGGGAAATGGCCCAAGCTCCATCAGGAACCTTTTGGGATCCATCAGGCACCTAAGGAGGGAA